TGCTGCCTCAAAACCCCTTGCTTAGCTAGAGTGTCAGCCATCCCATTATCTGTCCTGTGAATCCAATCGAAGGAAGCATTCAGGTCCCCTCTCAAGCTGTCCATCTTCCTTAAGGCATGTATGTAAACCCACAGAATAATTGTGACTAGAAGTGATCCAAGAAATAACCACTTTTGAGTCACCTTCAACTTCCAGGTTTCGGAAATTGGATTGCTTAGCAAATTTTAGGCCTTGTAACAGTGACATCAGTCCAGCCTTAAGAGAATCCCCTTCTCCTATGGGTCCTGAATACATAGCCAGCACTTTACTTGAGGAGTCTCTAAGCACACCACCCATACCTGCCATCTCCAGGTTTCCCATTGAACTCCCATCAAAATTTAACTTCATTATTCCATATGATGCTTCCAACATTCTTGACATGTTCATATTCGGATGATTGACATTTCACTGACATCAGCAATTCGGCATTTTAAACCTTGTCTAAGCCAAGCTTTTAGAAAGCCTATCTACATAAGATCCAAAAATTAATTGGAACATAAGTCATAATTTTTGTTTGATCAATGACCATGAATTTTATTAAATAAGAGAACTCTCAATTTATTAACTTGATGGAACAGAAACCTGAACTAGAAGGACCAATTTGTCCAGTTGGAGACTTGGAGGGACTGTTTAGCAGTTAATAACTTGATGTCTTCAAGGAAACAAGGACATTAGAAATTCAGATTTCTCATTAGATAGTCCAAAATATTAGCAGCCAACCTAAATGTCTCATTTGGGTGGGTGTACAAATCCACAAATGCCTTGGCTGACTCGTCGGCAAAAGAATGTGTGGACAGCATGAACTTGAATTAGGAGTTTCAGGTCTGGGAATGCAGTTTCATACTTTTTTGTTCATGTCACTTGGATTGGACAGCTATGTGGTGGTTTGGTCATGACCACCCTTGTTTTTGTTCTTATATATCGTTTATTTGTTTCTTGTGAAAAAATTAAATGCATGCCAATTATGAAGTGTAATTTTATGCCCCTGCCATTTGGAACTTGAATAGTAGAGCTTTCCAAATACATTAATAAAATCTCCTTTGAATGTGCTATTGATAAATAAAGGTGCAACTACAACATTTGTGAAATCTTTTGTTTTCTTAGACCAAAATAATTGTTAAGGCCAGCTTTAATTTCATCAAATATATTATGTAAGCAGATACCAATGAGATGCAAAGATCAGATACTCAAAATGAAATCATAAGAATCACCTGATTTAACCATAGTTACCTTCTCTTCAGCTGTGCTCTTGAGAAAACAGACAAAAGCCTCTGAAAACTGGGTCCCACATGGACCATTTCGCAATCCAGCTACACAAGGGCATTCCAATGCTTTCTGTGCCTTTGCATCAAGGGACTGAAAAAGAAAGGTTCAATTTTTTTGCTGAATGCAAATACATAGAAGAATTATACCTTTAAGTCAAGTTTTGCAACTAAAAATAAGTCTTGACTCCATTCTGAAAAGGGACTAACCTCATTCTCATTATCACCAAATGCTGTAGCTTCTGCAAAAAGGGAAGACAATAAGATAATACTAATATTGAATATGCTCTACATACCAAGAAAATAGAGCACAACTGTTGCATGAAAACAGATTCAATTTTAAGAAAATATCAATGTTGACAGTACCATCCAAAGTAATAAATTTTTCCAGTGGGATGTTGGGAAAAGGTCCATAGGTCAGATGATCAGGATTGAGTCTGAGCCTGTTCCAAGCACAATGGAGCCTGAACCTGGTTCTAGCAATCTGCTCAGCTCAGTAGTCAGTACATTGACAGCCCTATTTTTAACTCTGGTATTGCTCCTCCTAGATCCTAATTGGTGGGATCTGAATGGCTGAAAAATTCCATTGGTTTCAATTTCAATATTATTTCTTCCAAGCATAATGTGCTCAGTTGACCTTGCTCCAAATAGCCTCTCCAAGTTTCCTTAGATGCTTGTACTCCAAATTGCAAGGGGTATGCCTTGAATTTCTGGAGGCATATACCTGGAATGCTTGGGATTTGGGAATTTTAGAGACTACATAAAAGGACTTCTGTTTGTATTTTTTTGTTTTTTTTTTTTGTGATTATAATAAAAGCACTCCAAAATCAAAAAGAGAAGGGGGTTAAATAGATCCGTTAAAAGTAGAGAGAAGAGGGACTTCAGACCTGTCAAATGCACTCCAAAATGAGAGAGGAATCATGGATAATTGTCCCATGCAGATAAATAACAAGTAATGAAGATGGTCAACTGATGGGTTTTGATTGAAACCTGAAAGACATGAATGGAAAGATAACGAGAGGGATGAACTCCTGATATTTGAGATGGGGGCATTACCTCCATTGAGAAACAGAGAACGGACAACTCTTTTGAAACAAAACAAGATGGTACTAAGATAATGAAAGTGGCACTGGCATGGCTACTGCCAATGTGTCATCATGTAGGGCTGTTCACAAAAATCACCAAACCAACCAAACTGATCCAATATAGCCACTTTTTAAAAGTTTTTGGGTTGGTTCTGGTTCATCAATATGTATAAAGTATAAACTGAATGGCCGGTTCAGTTTTTGGTTTGTAAGTTTGTAAACTGAAAATAACTAACCCGAACCAGCTATGTGTTATTATATATATATATTTGTTAACATCTCTATTCACTCTCTCATTCATTAATTACTTTTCACTCTTTTTGAGGCTGCTGGCTTAACTTGTGAAACACTCAAATGTTAATTTAGTAACCAGTGCTATTTAACAAAAGTAGAAAGAAACCTCTCTCTCTCTCTCTCTTCATTAATTGTTTTTCACTCCTTTTGAGAATGCCTTCTTTCTCACCTAACATGTGAAAGACTCAAATGCCATTTAACCAATGTTATTTTAGTAAGCTTTATTTGAACTTTTCCCCATTTACAATCATATTTATTTTTTATGTAAAAGCTGCATAAATGACGCTTGGCTGTTCAAGCTCTACTTTTTAGGTCAAGCAAACTTTTTATTGGGGCTATTGTAAAACAGAAATGTTAAAATCAAGACTGTCAAAAGTCATTGGGCTTAAAATCGACCAAATCGAGAAACCGACTCTCAACCCAAGTGGTTGGTTTTCATGTAGGGTTGGTCGGTTTCAGTCGGTTTGGTTCAAAAAATTATGTAACTGAACTGAACCGACCTGTGTACAGCCCTACCATCATGTGCCAAGTGCCCAGTAACAGCAAGAAATATGTGTTTTCTGAACATTTTATGCTTTGGAGGGTGAGAATGAAAAAGAGGAAACCCAAAACTTCAAGAAGTTTCTACTTTCTACTAAAGCTCACATAACCCAGGCTATGATCTCTCTGCATTTTGAAACAAGTCCTTCATTGAACCCAAAAACTTTCTCAGAACCACTCTACTCTCACTTTCACTGCTAAGCACACAACCTAAATGCCTTTTCTTCTGTTTTCTTTCTATCCCTACTTTTTAAAGTTTTTTATGAAACCATGCTCATTTTAGTTTCATTGGTATGAAACTGTGTTCATTAGTTCTAGACTTTAGTACATTGGATGTATATAGGTTTTGTTTTCCTTTTTTCTAAGTAGAGGTTCTGCAATTTGCTTTATCCACTTATATAGCTCCATTATTTCATTGTTTGACAAAATGCTTAATTGGTTGAATTGAAAGTTGATAACTGTTCATATTTTTTTTTCTGTGGTACCACTTCAAAATGTTTTATGGTTGTCTGCTTGTCCTGTTGCTAGCTGTGCAAACTGCAAATGTATTCAAATTTTAGAGTGCTGGTAGAAGCAAGAGTTATTCAAGATACTCTCAAATTGATGATTAATTCACTTAATGATGAAGAAAAATTTATTTTAAACTATCTTCCTGAAAAAAATAAATAAAGCCATATATTTTGGCGGACCAATTAGCTTGAAGTGATCAGCCAACTATTGTTTCTCACATCTTTAGTCATTTGTTTTGCCTTTTAAAACCTCATCACCATATATATTCTAGCAAATGGTAAAAAACCGTAATGGACAAGCTATAACCCTTTATTTGATAGTAACTTGTAACCTTTATTGATTAATATAAGAGAATTTTATGTACAAAGTAGCCCAAGTCTGCTCTGGAAATCAATCTACTAAACATATTGGCTATCAAGGTGAATAAAAATAGAGAGAAAGGGTCTCTCTGTCATAGCCCCCTTTTAGCCTAAAAAAAAAAAAGAAAAAAAAAATCCATTACCAATTTACCACTCCATTCGCCAACACTGAGTAGATAAGAACCAAGGCAACCCACTCATCCACCTACATCCACCTAGACCATCTTAATCCAAACTTACACCTAAATATTATTTCCACCAAAAAGAACCAGTTTACTAAGTCATAAGCCTTCTCTAAGTCTAATTTACATATCAGGCCCTTCCCACCACTCCTTTTCTTATCCTCTATGAGTCTACACACTCATTAGCCACAAGAATTTGATCAACAATTTGCCTACCCTGAACAAATGCTCCTTGGAACTATGAAATGAGTGATGGCAAGATCTTCTTTAACCTCAATGACAGACTTTTGCAATAATCTTATACATGCTCCCTACTAGGCTAACAGGTTGAAATTTCTTGGGGTGGAAAGCACCAAAATTTCTCTTTGAATCAAGGCTATAAAATTTGCACTGGCACTTGAATTTATTAAACACCCTCTCAAAGAGCACATTAACACTTCCAAAAGGTTTGTTTTCACAATCTCCCAACAGTCTCGATAAAAAACCAATGTGAAATCATTTGGGCCCAGTGCTTTAGACCTCTCCATGGAGAACACATCCGCCTTGATCTCCTCCAATTCAAACCTTTTCTCTGACTCCAAGACCAACTCCTCACTCAACATCGACCAGTCCAGCCCAGGAATTACAAGTATACTCTCCACCAGATAGCAATAGACTCAATTTTTAACACTTTTTTTCTACCTGCTAGCTATACCCAGGCACCTTCCTCTCCCATCTTCACAAAAGGAAAATCTGATACAGAAGGCCACTGCTGGCCTCCGTGGTCTTGAGTAGTTGTAAATTGTGTTAGCTAATAAGCATCCTATAATCTTTCTTTCTTCTCACTGTGTACAAATTGGTTACTTCCCTTAAATTTAGTAGGCTCAAATGTTTTGGCTTCTTAGGGTAATTGGTGGATTTGGACATCTGCATTTACAGATAATCGTTCAAAGATGATTTGGTCATATTTAATGAAAGACCATTCTGCATTTGGGAGACATTACTTGGTGCAATGGTAAAATCTTGGGTTGGCAAGTGAGAACACAGGCTTCAATCTGAGAGTGGTCACTTCATGCCAAAAAAGAAAAAGAAATGAAGAAAACAGGAGTTTGGTCCATATCTTGTCTGCTTCTACCAAGACCCTAGATAGTGCTAATCCTAAATGTTATAAAGGGTTTGGCTTGACGTATTTCAACAGACTTAATGCTTCTGGCATATTGGTTAAGCACATAACAAATGATATCAGAGCCTACCACCATATCTCACGTTCCAATGACGGAGAGGACAGCCTAGTGTAGAGTAAAAGCCACCAAGAGGGAAAGAGGCAAAGAGCTACCTGCCGCTAAAGTAAAAACTGCCAAGAGTGAAGCCGCAAAGACCTTGGTTGCGGAAGTGTTGTGGCACATTCCTAAATGTTAAAGGGCTGTGCTTGACGCGTTCCAACAGTCTTAAGGCTTTTGGCATATTGGTCAAGCTCATAACAAATAATCAGGACCAGCATTGCGTAATGACCCTAAGTTCTCTCTCTTGTTCCCTCTTGTTCTACAAACTATCATCACTTAACAATCCTCGAACTTAAACCAGTAAAAGAAAGCCCTATGTACGTTCCACTTTCACAAGGAATGCGCAAATCACAGTTTCAAATGAGTAATAGGGCTGATTTTTCTTGGACAAGTATCGGTTGTACACATGCCAAACAAGGATTCACGGGCCTCTCTATCACTGAAAACTAAAAAAGAAATAATAACAACAGAGATCAATTGACCGACCTGCAATTAAATCTTCCATTGAAGTTGGCCGAGATTCATGTTTTGCAATTAAAGGGTCTTGGACGCTTTGATCGGCCGAGGCAATGCCACTCTGAATTTGACCCATCGAGATGATAAATCTTGCTTCTGAAAGTAAATCCCGTTCATCAGATCAGATATACTAGGGCTGCTTAATTCAGAGACGTTAATGAAACCAGCATTATAGCATTAGAGAGATCCTTTCTCCCTCTTTGTGTATGACTGCGTCTGATTACTGAGGTGAAGGAGAGAGGGTCAAGCACGACTGCACGAGTCAGAGAACAATGGCGTATCGTTGAGCGAGACCGAGTTGAAATAATGAAATGACCCGGATGGGATCAACTATCAGACCGGTCCAACACGGGGTGGTCAACCCGTGCTTGAATACGGTTCTTTCAACAACGTGATCCTGTACACTCCTGGCGCGCGTCGCTTGGCACCGGCTGGGTCCAGTAGAATAGAATCAATACTCAATATTCCGGAACCCGTATAAATACGTTTTTGACTAACCGTGTGACTAGAATTGCTCTATACTCAAATGGCCCCGGGAAATGTTCCCGTGAGGGAGACGGAGATAATTTCCCGGGGAAGGAAAGAGGTACCAACTGCGAACTGATGCAGTTCCGTAACCAATTAATATCCAAACGACCGTTATTCCTATGTAATTTGAGGATTCGAGCTGCAACAAGAGATGGGTTCTTCACAGAAACTCTTGAAATCTACCACTCAATGCTTAAATCCGGGGTTCATGGTAATAGCTTCACTTTTCCTTTGATCTTAAAGGCTTGTGCAAGGCTGGGTTCGCTGCGAAATGGTATGCAGATTCATGCCCATGCATTTCTAATGGGGTTTCAAGGTGATGCTTTTGTCCAGACAGCTTTGGTCGATATGTATGCCAAATGCTCAAACTTGACTGCTTCCCGCCGAGTATTTGATGAAATGCCCGTTAGAAGCTTAATTTCTTGGAATTCAATGATATCTGCATACTGCAATTGGCTTCTAATAAACGAATCACTTAGACTACTTAAACAAATGCAGGTTCTTGGTTTCCAGCCAAACTCGAGCACATTCGTGAGCATTGTCTCAAGTTGCTATGGTTCAGGTTGGGCACTTCAAGAAGGCTGTTCAGTACATTGTTATGCGATTAAGCTTGGGTTAGATTATGATTTGCTTCTTTCCAATTCGATTATGAGTATGTATTTGCAGTATAATCAACTAAATTCTGCTTGCTCTGTGTTCTATTCAATGGATGTGAAATCTGTCATTTCCTGGACAACAATCATTGGTGGGTATGTGCACATTGGGGATGTTGGCAAAGCTTTCTATCTTTTCAACCAGATGCGGCACAATCTACTTAGTCCAGATTCTATTTCGTTAATAAATCTCACTCTCGGTTGTACCCAATTGGAGAGTTTGTTAGCACTTTCCTCAGTTCACGCACTCATACTCAAAAGTGGGTGGAATCATGAATATCCAATTCAAAGCTCTCTTATTAGCATATATGGAAAATGTGGAGATCTTATATCTGCTCAAAGGATTTTTGATTTAGCAGATGATAAAAATGTGGTATTATGGACATCAATGATTAATGGATACGTTCACTCTGGGCATCCTAGTGAAGCACTTGATCTTTTTAAGAGAATGTTGTTGACAGGTGTTAGACCGAACAAAGTAACATTAGCTATTGTGCTCTCTGCTTGTGCTGATTTAGGGTCACTTAGCATGGGTGAAGAGGTGGCACAGTACATTAGATTGAATGGATTAGAGGCTGATTTGCACATTCAGACCTCATTAATCTACATGTATTGCAAGTGTGGAAACATAACAAGTGCAAAGGAAGTATTTGATAGGAGCTCCGATAAAGATTTAGCTTTGTGGAGTTCCATGATATATGGTTATGCAATCCATGGTATGGGAGAAGAAGCTCTTAATCTCTTTCAGAGGATGCAGAGGGAAGAAGGAATTAAGCCAGATGAAATTGTTTACACAAATGTATTATTAGCTTGCAGTCATTCTGGCTTGGTAGATGATGGACTGAAGTATTTTAAAAGCATGCAGTGCGATTTTGGGATAGAACCTAGTATAGAACATTATTCATGTCTAGTTGATCTTCTAGGTCGGTCTGGACAGTTGGATGTAGCTTTGAAAACCATACAAGAATCACCTGTTCAAGCAAATTCTCAAATTTGGGCTCCATTATTGAGTGCATGCAGGATCCATCTCAATATCCAGCTTGGGGAGTCTGTAGCTAAGCTATTATTTGATATGGTGCCTCATGTCACTGGAAATTATAAAGTGTTGGCAAGCATGTATGGTAATATAGGGAAATGGGAGAATGCAGCAGCTACAAGAAGGTTGATAAATGATAGAGTGGTTGTAAAGGAAGCTGGATGGAGCCTGGTTGAGGTCAATGTGTTTGATGATGTTTCTTCGTTGGAAATCAATTGAACCATTGGTTAATCGATATTTATAAGAAGGTAGAGGAGCTAAACGTGGAACCTAGAGAACATTGGCATGTTCAGAAACAGAGATGGTGATGTGTGACTTGAATTAGGAAGAAGGAGCAGTTAAGAAGTATTTTAGTAAGGAAGTTATCATGCTTAGCCTGCTCAGTGCAATCAAATATCATTTTCAGGGTCATGGAGCATATGAATGTTTGTTACAAACTTACAATTGTTTTCCATGTACCAGGGTTTCTCTTGAATATGACTGTGACCTCTTGCTCTGAGAAATTCCTGCTGCTTTCAACATTTTGAGTGTGATCCATTTCATATGGTACCCCTATATCACTGGCAGTTATAAATTGTTAGCTAGCATGTAAAGTAATAAAGGGAAGTGGGAAAACACAACAGCTATAGGAGGTTGATAAATGATAGAGGAATTGCAAAGGAATCTGGATGAAGCCAGGTTGAGGTGAATGGCTCTAATGATGTTTCTTCACTGGAAATCAGTCAAACCATTGACTAGTCAATATTTATAAGAAGGTAGAGGAGTTAAATGCTGAACTTAAAGAACTTTGACATGATGTTTCAGAAACACAGATGGTGATGCATGATTCGAAGTAGGAAGAGAGAGCAGTTATGAAGTATATTGTGAGGGTCGGGTCATGCTTGGTCTTCTTAGTACAATCAAATATCATTGAAGCCTGAATGCTGAAGTGTGATCCATGCTTGGTCTGCACCAGGGTTTCTCTTGAGTATCATTTTATTGCCTCTTCCTTTGTTGCAAAACTATAAGTCAATCATCTCATATAACCATCATCATCATGAGAGTGGTGAATAAAGAGGCAGAGAACACTTTTAAGTTACCTGCAATTATTTTGGTAAGTATTTATTTATAGGGTCTCCTGATTATGAACTTCAGTTTACCTGCAATTATTTTGCTTCTTGTTTTTGTTTTTATTTTTGTTCTTTTTCCTTTCTTTCTTTCTTTGGCGACTGACTGATGAAAATTCCTAATTTAACTGCATTTTTCTTCATGGACTCTCAATTTATAAGAACAGTGTTAGAGGTGGTAGCCTTGCCAAAGATCTCTTGACCAATCAAAGAAACCTTTTGATGCCCCACTCAAGAGAAAGGAAAATTCTGGAGTAAACACAAGATACTATCCAATTTGCACTATTTAGTTCTAAAATTCTTTCCCTAAAATGTAATCAAGAAATCTCAATTTATGTGGTTGTGCATTTTCTTGTCTATTTTGCATGACACACCAGGTCTACCATTTATCCTTCTTGAGTCCATTATGATCATTATAAGATACCATTTAAAATTTGTTTTTTGTTCTTTTAGCTCCTTGACAAGGGGAAACCACTAGACTCATCACATTCTTCAATCTCATGGATGAGATCTTAGAAATGATTGTTAAGCCTCTGTATAATTTGGTCCAGTCAGACATCTCTTTTCTGAGATAACTGCATTGAATCTGGTAGGTATTCAAGCTTATTTTGAAAAACAAATCTTCATTAATTCAGCATTTACAATGGCCCAACATATTTTATGTTTAGTCATGTTTAAAGTCAAAATCATGTTGTCCATGGGTTTTGTCCCCTTCTATTTCCTTTATCACTTAGAATCTTCCCTCCTTAGAGAAAGGTTTCTCTGGTTGTTTAGCCTGCCTAGCAAAGATTTTATCAAGTTTAAGGCCATCCTTGATATCTCATAGATAGTGATTAATAGCAAAAGGTTTATTGGTACTCCTACAGATCTACAGAGCTGAACTCAATTTCCAGGGGACTTACATAATTGGGTATAGGAAGGATTTATTTATGCATAGTGAAACCTCTTTGCTTTCATAAGTTATTTTATGTTGACACTTGACAGTGGGATCCAGTGCATATTTTGTATCTTTTTATGGATCTATCATTTGGAGCACATTTTTCTTACTTCAAAGAAAATTTCCATTATATTCTTAAATGGAAACATAAATTAGAAGATACTGACTCCCCAAATAGGGGAAATAAGAGATCTCTGTAAAATATGGAGAAAATATACAGCTGAACATATGGACAAATCTCTTGAAAGTAACTCGTAAATGCAAATGCCTTCTATATATTTGGGAACTAGAATTAGTTTATCTACAACATTTAGTGGCTTGGACAAAGAAGTTAGGGGTCAATTTTGTTTAGCTATATGGAGTCATACTTTATGTACTGAATACTAATGGAACCACATGGTATGTACAACAACTTCATAGAGATTTAGGAGCATCTGTTGTAGCCATGGCTCCTTGTGCTTCATAGATGGGAATTGGATTTAATAATGTTACTTAGTGGACTGTTTTACGATAAATAGAATGGAAGGTGGGCCTTGGTGCAATGGTTGGGTTGCTCCATAGCAACCTGGTTGACTGGGGTTCAAAATTTCAAATCTTGGAAACAGCCTCTCTCTATGTGCAGGGGTAGTAAGGCTGTGTACATCTGTCCCTCCCCAGACCCCACCTTGGCAGGAGCCTCATGCACTGGGCTGCTCTTATAGAATGGTTGGAAGGTCATCCATAGAAATAGATCTTTGTTTTGGAATGGTAGAATACTGATGTATTTCATTCTATTGCCAATCGGCATATTTATACAGTAAGCTGCTGCAATAAATAGAAAGAAAAAAAAATAGAAAGAAAAGAAAATAGAAAGAAAAAACTTTCTAAATCAAACCTTCCACAACCCTAGGAATATATACAATTCTATTTTTACACAACTACCAAATATAGATCTGCACCAGTAACCCCACGTTTTCCAACAATCTTGATGAGGATTATAAGCATCCTCCAACCACTTATCAGTCACTTGTAATCTATACAGAAGTTTTTTCATGAGATTTTATTGTTATGTACTGATAAGAATCATCTTCTTGCAGCTTATGGGAGACCTTTCAGGTCGTAAAGCAGTGTGGAGGCAGAGACAGTTATGTGCCAACAGTGATGGCCTCAAATTAAAAAGTGGAAATGGATGCTGAAAAATAAATTCTATTTATCAGTTCAAGAGAAGAGGTGGGATGACAGCTTGAACCCTTACAGCATATTTTTGGATTTCTTCTTATTTAGTTAGTTATCTATTCATCTGTATATTCCTAGATTAGCAAGTCATATAGCTCGTGATACAACTCTGAATGCAGCTTTGGTAGAGGGTTCTGATATTGTTTTTGGAACCTTGGACTTATTCATAGAGTTGGTCCATATAAGGGTGGCACAATGGCTGAAATCCTTGGACTTGTTCATAGATTTCACTTTGGATGACCTGTTGAGAAATTGGAAAGAGATAGCAAATTCTGCCCAGATTAAGAGCGTTCCAAGTCCTTGGACCTCTCCCCCTCTGGCTTCATAAAACTGAATTTCGATGGCAATAGCATTGGGAATCTAGGGCCATCAGGTATTGGGGGAGTTTTCAGGAATGAGGAAGGGAATGTGTTAGCCATTTACTCAGGCCGAATTGGAGAAGGTGACTCTCTCAGGGCTGAGATCTTTGTGACCTTGGATGGAATCCAAAGAGCAAGAGAATTGAACATTAGGAGGCTGGTAATTGAAGGTGACTCAGAGGTGATAAGATGGTTAAAGGAAGACAAGACTGGAATGTGGAAGTATAGCGATGAAAAGAAAAAAAAAATCAACTGACTGGATAAGGACATTGAGATAAAATGCAGCTGGTGAAAAGAAATGCTAACTCACTTGTTGATGGGCTAGCCAAGCAAGGGGTGAATAGGGATTCTTTGTTTTGGGCTCATTTCTAATATTGTTTTTGTTTTGCTTGTGGAGAAGTTAAGACAGTTTACCTCCCTCTGCTTGTATGCACTTTTTCCTAAAGTTTAATGAAGTTACATTGTTATTGATCAAAAAAGAAAATGTAGCTTTGGTAGAGAAGGAGCTGTCTTCTTTTATTTCAAGTTCTCTGATTGGATAAGAAAAGGCATAACTTGTATATTTTTGAAGTTTTGTGAATCCATTTATGGTGTACAGCTACTCATTGTATTGGAAGTTTCACCCATTTATATTGATAAAAAAAAAGTTTCACCCATTTATACTTCAGCAATATGAGTATACTTTGTCTTTTCTCAAAAAAAAAAAGAAGAAAAAGAAGAAAGAAAGAAAGTGTATCTATTTACAGGGATTTATGGTACCACTTTGATCTGTGAAATTCAAGGCAAAAGCTCCATACAATAGCATACATTTCTTGAGTAGTTCTCTTTTTTTTGGCAAGTAAGCTGATTTTGATGAAGAATTCTGAAGGTTATGTACATCAACAGGTAAGGTTTTAGAGGAGCTCACCTGTTTCTTGTCTCACATTGAAAAGCATTCCTTCTGTCCTGACTGTGAAAGCTATTATATTATCAAGTGTCTACAATCTGTAAATTTTTAACTTATATTTGGTGCTATTATATGGATTTTGAAATGACAAAAACAATGGGTTGGATGGGTAGTCTTGAGTGGTATACTATAGAGAAGTTCTAGCTCTTATTTTTATCTTTCTTTCTTTCTTTCTTTTATTTACTCCAATTAACATGTGCATGATCGAAACCATTTTCAAAAATAAAGGGCTGGGAGAGGAATTTAGAAATTCCTCAGCTCTAAACTAATAAGCTATGAGGCTAATTTGCTGTGAGAACCAAATCAAATGCACTAACAAGCTTTGATTTGGCGTAAAAGCTAAAATTCGAATCGGGGAGCGATGGAAAGGCTTCGGGGAAACCTCCAGAAAACCCTACGTTCACTTGGATCCTTGTTTCTTCTCTGAATTCCTTTTTTGAATGGTATGTTTTGGAATTTGAGGCCACTAATGTCCCCATTGTCAGCCGTTTGAAGAAATTGATTAATCTACATGGTGTTGGTTTGTTAGCTCTGTCAAAGCTTATGGCAGTCAGGGGTGGGGCCAAGTATACTGGTGGGGGTCCTCGCCCCCCCAAAATAAATAAAAGAATTAAAATGTAAAAGATCATACTCTAATTCTCTTTCAACCCCCAAAATAAAAAAAATATATATATATATTGTTTATTTTTTCTTTAAAAAATATGTAATAGATTCAAATATTTTCAAGCCATTTTTTCCTATACCCTACTTCTGCTCCATATCTCATTTTCTTGTTCAACATGTGCTCCCCAACCCCCCCCCCCAAAAAAAAAAAAAAAAAAAAAAAAAGAAAAAAGAAAATTCTTGGCTCCGCCACTGATGGCAGATGATAGGAGAATTGCTTCTACCTCTAGGAAACTTATATGTCTAGTGTGTTACCGAATGTGGGTATGAAAATTTAATTTTTTTTTTTGAAGGATGATTTCACAATTGTGTTGGTAGGTGACACAGATCAAATTATCAATTGTCAGAATTGAATTACTGGATGGTAGTTTGTTTTTGTTTTTTTACTGTTCATGCCAAGTGTGACCATTTTGAAAGAATGGAGTTTTGGGGTGATGAGGTGAAACGGTTGTCGAAAACTAACAGATACAGCAGAAGAGGCTTTATCTGGAAAGGAATTGTGGGTTGGCAAGATACCCTTTAATTTTGTCTAGGCTTACTAGCACTGAAAATGCCAAAGGCAAGGGACTTCTTTCTTAAGTAACAGAAAAATTGGATTTTAAGTGTCCGTCAGTTGTGCTACAAATTGTCAGATGGATTCAACAGCTGCGTGGTTGCCCCAAATTTGAAAAAAAAAATGGAAATTGTTATTTGATTTGCTTGAATTGCTCAAATTGGAGTGATTCCCCAACCATCCTTGTCAGTTGTGACTGTGCTTGTGTCGATGCTTGCTCAAATTGGTGAAATGACCAAAATGCCCCTAAAGGGTGATGCCTAAAATGATCAAAAGGAGAATTAAATGGAATGTCTATAGATGTAAACAAATGAATTTACGTAATCCATTCCATGTTGCCTGTAACCTTACATGCTCTACAGCCCATCTCCATGCCCTTCTGTCACGGGGGTAGACCTGTAGTGGAAGAAACCCATGTGGCATTCATGCCCTTCTGTCATGGGGGTAGATATGTAGTGGAAGAAACCCATGCGGCGTCCAGGCCATGGGTGGCTAGGACAAGCCTAAGGTGTATTTAATGACTACCTGTCAGTTCGATGATGGCTCCACCAAGGTCAGTGGCATTGGATCATGACCTCGTGGTTCATCGTCGGGTTCTGTGCTAGTTCTTGTCAGTCCATGGGAGGCACATTTTACATGCTAAAGGGGGATCGTGAGAAGCGCATGTTGCGCCGATGATGTGTAAGGCAACCGCTTGGGCCTAAACACACCCATGCGCTGTGTGCAAAAGGGTAGCTCGATTAACTTAGACATGGGAATGGCAAGGTGTAGGGACATGCTTGGAACAGACCCGCATGGAAAGCCTCCCCTTCATGTGAGTGGTGCAAGTGCCAGTCCATGCCCTGTCCCCATGAGTGTGTGTGTGCCCATGAGGAACCTTAGTAGCCATACTAGCCATTAACTAGGGCTGCCCCACAATGGATATTGGTTTAGGAGTGCTAAGGTTAGGCACCCAAAGAGGTCGACCACCCCTCCTCAAAGAGTACGTTAAGCTTTTAGAGGTCTACTAGTAAGAAACATCACTTTTCCAAAAAATTATATTGGCATATTTACCGTATTGCCACTCAATGTAAGCCTGCCAAGCGTAGACAAAGTTAAGCCTGTATCAGACTGTGGTAGGCTCCCCCTCTCAATCTTTTGTCATCCTTGACAATGGCTCCTTTGTGAATGGGTGTGTGTGTCTCGCACCATCCATGTGTGCTCTACTTTAGGGCCACCTGGTTAACCCGGGTCTTGGTGTCCATGTAAGGGGACGGAACTATTTCACCATGTTAGCCTACCTAGACTTCACTCATTGTGTTGGGGTTACTCAAACCGCGCAATGTCTATGCCGTCAATGCGTGTGTGTGTGTATGGCCCTTGAAGTGATGTATGTGAAATGCTTCGTGGAGGTTCGTCCTGTGTTCTCTTTACCTCAAGGTTCGGCCATCTTCTTGGTAGATTTTTGGTGGTTCTACCGAAAACAATGTGATAGGTGTTCACCTGTTGTTGGCATAGTGTCCCGAGAACCCTTTCACCATGCTGGCCTATGGACTTCACCTCGTTGTGTTCAGGTTACTCAAACCTAGCCATGGCTTATGCGTTGTTGGCCCTCGAAACTACACTTCACCTCGCCAGTTTGGGCTACCTCTTTGCTCCAAGGGGACCCCAATGTGTTTTGCCTCAAGGATCCGACCATAATATGCACGAGTGGTGGCAACTTTTACCTATGATGTTGTCGAACATGAACTCGCCTTTGTGATGTGTTGTTGCTACGAATGCTCCGCGTGTTGTGTGTTAAGCATGTCCTCCGATGCATTGCCAGTGTAGTGCCACCATGCTCCAACAGCAAGTTTACCCACATTCCTATCATTTCAATATCGTGGTTTCAACCAAGGGCCCTTGTTGTGCTAATGCCACCACTTTAGTGATATTCCTTGCCCAACAGTCGGCACCAACCAATTTCGGACTGTTGTCTCTGCCTTAGTAGTGCCTTTGACAAGTTACGGAACAATGGTTCATCCGTTATGAAACCAAGATGTAGGCGCACCACCCACACCTCACCAAAATAAACAGCAACCGATGTCCATGAGGAAGCATGGTACTCCCCCACTCAAACCACCACAATATGCCTTCCAAGATATGGCCTAGGCCTAATGCTTGTTGCTTGCTCAACCCTTTTAAGTGGGCGTGTTGAGGGACCGCATCCCACAATGTGGCTGCTTGTCGAGATGATCACTCCAATTTGGCAACTTGTTGCTCTAATGCCAACTACAATAGTAGTTGGATGATCGACTTTGATACCAACTGTCACAGGGGTAGATTTGCAACGGAAGAAATTTGTGTGGCAGGACAAGCCTGAGGTGTGCTTAAGGGACATGTGTCGACTAAATAATGGCTCCACCAAGGTCAGTGGCACTGGATCATGATCTTGTGTCTCATGGTCGGGGCTCTGTGCTGGTTCTTATCGGTCCACGAGAGACACCTCTTACGTGCCAAAGGGGGATTGCCATGATGAGAGGTGCGTGTTGTGTTGATGATGTGTAAGGAAACCACTTGGGCCTGAGCACACCCATGCGTTGTGGGCAATGGGGTAGTTTGATTAGCTTAGACATGGGGCTGCTGAGGTGTAGGGACATACTTGGGTCAGGCCCACATAGAAAGCCTCCCCTTCATGTGCGTGGCATAGTGTCGGTCCATGCATTGTCCCCATAAGCATTGTGCCCATGAGGAACCCTAATAGTCATGCTAGCTATTAACTAGGGCCACCCTACAAGAGATATTGGTCTAGGAGTGCCAAGGTTAGGCACCTCCTCAAAGAGTACGTTAAGCTTTTAGAGGTCTACTAGTAAGAAACATCACTTTTGCGAAAAATCATACTGGCATATTTATAGTATTGCCACTCAACGTAAGCTTGCCCAGCGTAGGTAAGGCTAATCTTGTGTCAGATTGTAACACTTATTTGTTCTTCCTTGGCTTCATAATAGTCGAGTTCCTAGTCCCAACGGATTCGAGATCGCATCTGCACCCAACAAGGTGTGCCTCACTTGTCATTAGGAGATATTCCCAATACACGCTGAGATGTGCATGTGAGGAATTTGTGGGGGCACAGATGTAAACTCAACTAATTCACCCTTCCTATTGCTTAGGCTTCCTGC